GTAGAGTTACAAATTTTTGTGCTTGGGTTTCCGTTGTACAATGATCGAGTACTCATCCCTCCACCAGTGCCCATTTTCCACCACCACTGATCCCAGTACTCCTCCCACCCCCGTTAAGCCCCCATCCCACCCTGCCTCTGTGGCATGGCATCGAGTAAACTTTTTACATAAATTTTATTTTTTCATTCTTACATTAACTTTATATATTGGATAAATAATTTGCAGTCAACTGCAAATTACGGCCTAATTCTTCTTTTATTCAGAATTAGTAAAATTATGTCACGATGGTATTTGTCTGTACTGTTTTCCAATTAAGTACTGGAGGAAGAACTGTAAAGTAGGTTTTTAAAAATATGTATTTTTTTATTAAATAAAAGAGCCATACTTTACAAAGTTATTGATAGTTAAGCATATAATATTTCGGCACCAATCCTACCACCAGGGTAAATTCCCCTAACAGTGTTCCCATACTCCATTCGCCTCCAGGAGCCCCGCTCCCACCCCCACCTACCACTTTGACAGGCACATTGCAAAGTTCAGTGGTTGCAGCTTAGGTCTCATGTTTCCAGTGTTGCTGAGCCTGTGCTCTGGATATATCTGCATACCACTTTCCCATATCACCAGTGTAACCTAAGTCCTGACTGCCATTATGGCCTAATACAATTTAAGTCATTGATTTTTTTTTTTTTTTTTTTTTTTTTTTTTTTGCCACAGAGCTTACACCTGCCTCTGTGCTCAGAGATCACTCACTCCTGCTAGTGGTCAGGGACTATATGCTTTGTAGGGATCAAACAAGTGTCAGCAAAACATGCAAATACCTGCTGTACTATCTCTCTGATGTCAAATTTTGCTTTCTTAAAAGAAACCGTAATACAAGTCTAAACTGTTAAACAGCGGGAAACTGTTATGTGTAATAAAAAAATTCTAATAATTTTAACCTAATTTAATTAGGTATACTTTATTGTTGAACATAAGGAGAGGATGCAATTTATACCTAATATACAAAAACTCTTTTTGTTTTATTATTGAATCATTGTGAGATAGATCTTTATAAAGCTGTTCACAATTTAGTCTCAGTCATACAGTGTTCCAACACCAATCTCTCCACCAGAGTACATTTCCCAGTGCCAGTGTCCCCAGTTTCCCTCCTATCATCCTCTCTATGGCAGGCATTTATCTTCTATTTCTTTCTCTTTCACTTTCTTTCTCTCTCTCTCTAAAAAAGGAAGAATAAGTGTGTATTTACATTTTGCATATAAAAAGAAAGGGCAAATTTCCTAATTTAATGAATCATAAAAGCGATTTCAAAACACAAAGCATAATCACAAAATAATTACACAACTATATACACGGAAGTATTGAACACATGCTTTATATTCAATGTAATAAATTCTTATGTAAAATAAAAAGTGGGTTGATTTGTTATATTGATGAAAACAGGAAGTGCTTAAACTAGACCTTAGAACTATACATGAATGGATAAATACTTGGCTAATAAAAGTCCACAACTTGTAATCCACAACTCTCAAGAAGTTAGAGGATAAGTGTGTCAAATTGGCTGGCTCTCCAGGAAGAAAGCAGGTAATTTTGTTTGTCTTATCCATAAACCAAATATTTTCATTCTCAACTCAAATGCCTGACTGTCTCCACCAGGGCCCAACAGCTGAAGACCACCGAGGCCCAGCCAAGGCCATGCTGGGACCACTCTCCACACACTTGGATGAGCCTCACGCATAAAAGAACTGACAGAGGAACCCAGGTGTGTGGGACCCGGGGCTGAGATCTCCAAGCCTGCACAGTTTGGGACTGGACCTGCCAGTAACTAGACAGTTACACCCACCAACTGCCGTGTAACTCCAACAATGGCCAGGATCCAGAGATCATCACACTCAGCTCCTGGGAGAGAACAAGGCATTCGCGGCCGCGCGACGTCTTATCATCTCATTCCTAATTTGGTCAAACTGGCAGGCTACCAAATGTAACATGCCCACACGGCAGAGTCTGGCAAACTCCCCGTGGTATACCCAATATGCCAAATACCAGTAACAATGATGGGTCTCATTCTCCTAACCCTGAAAAAGCCTTGAATATGGCACTTTAAAAAAAAAATCTCAGGGCTAGGGCGAAGAAGACGTTACTGGCACCTGCTCGAGGCAATCGACGAACAACAGGTTGGTCGTGATCGTGATCGTGAACCATCAGAAGGAAACTATATGCCTTAAAAGAAATAAAGCATTTTATTTAGGCAAAATTTTGCAAGCAACAGGTACTAAAACACATGCCATGCTAAATGTTAAATGACTAATAATAGTAACACATCCCAAATACTAATTGTTCTATAGCAAAGAATTAGAGGCTCTGTATACTTACACGTTTCTTGAACCTTACCTTTCAGTAGATATAGATTATGTGCTGGCTAAAATTATCCCTGGGAAGTCAGTACTCATAATTGACGTCAACACTTGGAAAAAGACAGGAAACTGTAGCAAATAGTTAACTGCTCTTGGGTTGTTGTGACCTGATGTTTCAAAAGCCCTGATTATCCTGCTCCTTTGCAGAAAAGGAAAGAAAAGATATTTTGGAGTGGGGATACTGGTACACTTTCAGCCACTGTTACAGGTCCTGGGCACCTCTCTGGTTTAGTAAGTAAAGTATATATACAGGTCCTGTTTTTGATCGCTTCTCGGACTTTTGGCTAAGATCAAATGTAGTAGTATCAAGTGTAATATCTACATGTCCAATGGAGAGACTTCCAGTACCGCATTTTAAATTTTAGGATAAGTTAGTGACTAAGCTAACTTGAGCTAGGGTTAACATTGAAGAGTTTGTCTTTCTTTTGAATCAAATTTGCAATAATTTGTATCCAAAAGACCACAAAGAAAGGAAAAATAAACACCACAAAGGTCTTTTTCATAGAGGTCAGGATTGCAGGTGCCTTCACAAAGGATGTGTAAATGTATACTATGGAGTGTTTTTGAGCTAAAATTTTCATATAAAATCACTGGGGTGACCATCTCTACTGTGAAGAGGAACAAGAAAACATGTTGGCAACAACTATCACTCATTGACAAGGAATGGATAGGCCAAACGTGAAAAGAATTCGTAAGCAACGGCAAGAAAAAGAAATCAAACTAATTTTAGATACAAGCAAAAAATTATCTGGACACTTTGGAGGGGAAAGGTAGCAGTCCTGTGGTAATAGCTGTGCTGGAAAGGGCGGGGACGCGTGAATAGGTGTTGGTCATACTGTATATGATAAAGCCACAAACTATAGGATCATTAAGACCAAGAGCTAGAGATCACTGGAAGATACAGCTCACTATGGGTTAGCATTTCAGATTTGATTTCTTGGATTGTTCCCTAGTCTCTTTCCTCAATTCTGCCATCAGTATGGAGTCTGGTATTCTTTTGTTTGTTTTTTAAATTTTTGGACATTATCTATTTCTTTGTTTTGATATACCACATAGGAGTGAAGTTACCTGGTATGTCAATCATTCATATGCCTTTCTTCTTCTGACTTATTTAAATTAGTAAGAAGCTCTTCAGTTGCACCCATGTTTCAGCAAAAAGCAAACTTTCATCTTGTGACTAAATAACATTCCACTAGGTATCTTTATGCAATATGTCTCTCTGTATATGCATACATATATACATATATAAATATATAAAACATCTACTAATCTGTTATTGGGCATTTCAATAGATCTTGACTATTGAAAAAAATCACAATAACCATAGGTTTGCATTTGTCTCTTCAAATTCGTGGGATTTTGACTTTATAATCAATCAAAATCAAATTTTGACTGTGTAGGTATTCAGGAGTGAAATTACTAAAAGATACACTAGAGTTATTCTTTTATTTTTTTAAAACAGAAGTTAAGCTAGTTCATATTCCTCACTTTTTAAAGATTTTAGTTATTTAACTATTTCAGAAAGCCACATTGCTTTCTGAAATAGCTGCCTAAGTACTTGTTTTAACTAACTGGGAAATCTTAAGATGTCGTCTTTTATAATAAGCCACAGAGTGAAAATAGCTTTCAGTTTATTCTGCAGAAGCTTTTCGCTGCTTTGTGCCCAAGCAGTAAGGTCAGAAACTCTTTGGAACTACTTTTTATAGGTGTGCACTTAATCATATCTGATTTTAGAATGTGCTATTTTAAGTTTTGTGTGCTACTCAGTATAATTTGATAGATTTTTGGGGGGATCTAGGAATGAATATTAATAGTCTTTTCTATATTATTGGTGATTACCTATTCATTTTAAGCCATTTTGATTTAAAGCTTCATATGACAGCTGTACTTTTGGATGAGGGAAATAGTGTATTCTAATATCAACAGGAGCAAGATGAAATCTATCTCTGAATCATGAGTGAACCAGGTCAAGTTCCTTCAATATTAACACTTCCAAGGTCTGTCAATATACTGACTTGTTTAAATCATTGCAATTAGAGTGACACAGAAGGAGGTGGGGTAGACAGAAAAGGTATTATTTTCTGTGGTAGAAAGATATTGGCACCTTAGTGGCAGGAAGTGCAGTAACATTGTATTCTTAAAACCTACACATTTGTGTACTTATACTCTTGTAAATTAGTGTCACTCAAAGAAAAGTGAGGGATTACTGCAGTTAATAATTCAACTCTAGGGAGGGATACGGGGAACAATGGTGGTGGAAAATGTGCACTGTTGGAGGGATGGTTGCTCCATCATTGTATGATTGAAATGTATTCATGAACATTTGTAACTGTATCACATGGTGATCCAATAAAAAAAAAGAAAAGAGATTGACAATTAAAAAAAATAATTTAACTAAATTCTCAAAGAGTTAGTGCTAAGTCAAACACAATACAAAGTCAGAATTCAGCATGAATAAACTACCGAGATGAAAAGCACAGAGAGATGGACATGATCAAATAACCTAAAATTTGGATATATGACCTCTACAAAAGGTTATGGGGATAAATAGAAAAATTAGAGCAAAAGAAATACTGGCCAACATTTATTTTCCGGAGATAAAACTTTATTTGGGGCATCAAGCAATATACCAAAGAGGTGAGTCATGCACAAGTAATGTCCTTATTTCCATAATTGTACTTGGAAATGTTCTTCCCTCTTGAAAGGGATGTGTAGCAAACAAAGACGAGAAGCACACAACTTTTTTAGAGAACCCTATCTATGTTAGTGCTTAAGAAAGTATCTTTTAAATTTGCTTTCCTTCTTTAAAAGGCATGTGGATTTTACTTGAGAATAAAAAACAAACTAGCTCTTCCACTCATGATGAGGTTTGTCCCCAGAGTTGTTTATGAAATAATGCAGCTGCCTTTTTCTTTAAAAGGATTCTTGTCTTCTGGAATTCCTTTCACCAAAGGATCTTCCCCAGAACGTTCTTCAATGTAGTTCTTTATTTCTTCAGAACATTTAGACACCTTAAAAAAAATTGATCAGGATTGTTCAAATTTTGTCACTGCCTTTGGTGAAAATAGTATAATTGGGTGCTACCAGCATTTTATATATGAAACAGACAAGAATAAAACTGAGTACAGCACGGAGCATATATAATACATGTAACTAATAAAATTCTTGGAAATTAAATTTCTTACTATGGTTAACAATCAGAAAGTTTGAAATCACTAAATTAAATTTCCTGCTATGTTTATCCTATCCATTCTGCTTCATATGATCTTCCTCTGAGAAAATAGGAGTTACTATGTGCCCACTACGTTTTAGTGACTAAAACATAACCTGACTTCATTTTTGCAAGCTAAAGAATAGGGACAGTAATAGATAATTCCCAATTATGTTAGGGCATGTATGTTGAAAGCCTTACATACAGTTTTGCAGCATGTTCTGAAAGTTCACAAAATGATAAGAGCATTGGGGAAAGTCTGGTTCTTGAAAGATTAACTTGTCCCAACATCTCACTCTGCATGCTCAGAGTTTATTTCCAGTTTCTTGAGAATGATGGTAACTATCAAAAATATGGGTGACATGTTTTCTGAAATTTTTAAGACCTTTATGCTTATATAATCAGTTTATACTTCTGCAATGAAGAAAGCATTAAAAAATTCTGTCCTTAAGAGACAGGATGCTCAAATGAGTTTTTTTTTAAGAGTAAAACACAACAGGTAAAAGGGATTAATGCTTAATGAATTATTAATTATTTATTAAAGAATTTATTTCTTTCCAGTCCATGTTGCTGGAAAGAAATTTGAAATGAAAATAAGAGATACATAAGCATACTTAAGCAGAGAGCTCTTAAAATCAGTAAATGTTTCCAATCAATTGTAATCTAGATAAAGAATTTTCAAATTTGGGGCTGGAGATAGTGTACAGCAGACTGGCTGCTTGTCTTGAACAGGAAGATCTGGGTTCAATCCTTTAGCACCCCATAGAGATCCTTAAGTGCAATGTCAAGACTGAGCCCTCAGCACTGCTGGGTGTGACCAAAAATCCCCATCCCCCCACAAAGAATTTTCAAACAGACTATTTGCTTATGTATCCCCAAAATGTAGACAATTATTTGGATGTAAGGGAAGATGTTACTCAGTCAATACAACATGCACAATTGAATGATTTTGATTTCAAACTATTAAAAATAGAAAATTTAATATTTTCCTTCCATTACCAAAGATTCTTTGACACTAGTATGAAGGCCACTGTCCTATAATTTAAAACTACATGCCCTGACTATAGATTTAAACTGGCAGAGAAAAACCGAATAAAATACTAAGGTAGCATTTGCTTGTATTTCTGCTATTGTTAGAGAATATATTTTAAGTGATTTTCAAAAATTATTGTGCAAGTATCTACAGCCTGAGGTCTGTTGTCACAGCAAAATATGGAAGACTTGTGTTCTTCGCAGTTGTAACTACTCTTAAAGAATTCTTTAGATATCCAAAGAAATGTATAAACTGTAAAAGTGAATAATTACTCCTCTAATGCAATTTCCGTTCCAGATCAAGAGGATATTTTTTCACAACAATTAGCTGGAACCAGAATCAGTCTGTGTTTTCTGTTGTAGTTCTGGGTAGAGACACAATACAGACAAGGGAATTTTATTGACAGAATAACAGACTAGGCATCAGGAGAAACGCGTTGAGTATCAGCCTTATCATCTCTGTGTTCTTAAGTGAGGACCTAGTTAACCTCCTTGGGATTCAGGTTTTTAATCCTCAGAAGAGAAAGAACTGCATAATCTCTGTAAACCATAATGTTGGCCTGGCACTAATATTCTCTTATTCAAAACTCATAATTAAATATGCTTATTAGGATTTAGAGAAACCTCCCCTAATCCTCTGTGGCTATTCTGGAAGTTTTTCTTCCATCTGTCAAATATATGGAGTCTCCAGAGTTGAAAAATGCAGCAGGGTGTGTCCTGAAGTGGATGTGGGGAGCAGGCAGGGAGGAAACTGCTAATATATGATACCCTTAATCTCCACATTGTCATCTGAATTCAGGCCTCTTTCCAACGTCAGGTTTGAAGTTTTAACTGACCAGAAGATGCTTGTTTTTGATCCCATCCAAATTCTGCAGTGACTCCCAATATTAAAACAGGCCAACTTTGCATAGGCAATGCCTGGCTTCGGTTTATTCAACTTTGTTTATTTTGTAACCTTTAAGGTACATGGTGGAAAAAAAATCAGGGCCCAATACATGCTGTAATGTGGGCTTTGCCACCCACAAACAGGTCCCTTGAGGTATCAAAAAACAAGTTTCTTCACTAGGTCATTAACTTTGGTTTTCGTTTTGAATAACATTTTAAAAAGTTACAAAACTTATGGATAGGAGTAATTTTGTACTCCAATATTTAGAAAAAGTATGAATTAGGAAGAAAAAACTTAAATTTGAGAAAACAAATGTGTATAGTACATAATTGCTAAAAATATGCATTTTGAGTAAAAGTATACTATAAATATACATATATACTAAAATATGTATATATGTATTAAAATATACATACTTAATAATAATATAATAATATTCTTCTTGTAAACAGATTAACCAGAATTAGTGTAAAAAAGTGAGACATTATATTTACCATACCTATTTTATTTCTATTATTCTCTATGTTTTCCCTAGTAATTAATAGAGAATAAAACCAGTTTAAATTTTTTTGTTGACAAAAGGACTATTTTCCCTCTAAAAAGTCTATTCAGAAACTTATTCCTTGCTTATAGATTGGTTGCTTAATTCAGATAAAGAGGAAGAGAACTGAAAGAAAGAAATTCAAGTTAAAATGATAAAACTTCCAACAAATTTCATTGCAGACTCTTGGACATGCAGGGCATATGTTCTCACTGTATTTCCAAACCACATCAGTGGTCTCCAAAATTTTTAAGTAGTTATTTATAAATAAATGCAGATGCTACTGGATGCATTCATTTACATAGTTGTGAAATATACAATGGGAATTATAAAGAAACAGAATATGCAAATACATTTAAAAGGAAAGTGTCCTGCCCCAAGTCCCAATAACCACTCAATGGATCAGAGAACCCTGGTGAAGTTCAAAATTCGGTAACTCTAGAACCTGAAGACCTTAAAGTGTAAAGACTTTAAATTAAAAAACAAAACAAAAACCAAAAAAACCTATCTTCTTTTTGAAAAAGGATCTTACGGGGGGAAAATTACTTTAAAAGAATTCTTACGAATATCTTTTATTTATTTATTTATTTTCATCATGAAAAAGGTCAAGGGACTAAAGAGGCATCTGAGTTTCCTGGAGTTTGGAGGTCGAATTTCTTATTTGTCCCCTCTGCCCCCTTTGTAGACTTCTCAGAGGGTCAGGCTTTGGCTGTAAATTACTCAGTGGATCCTTGTCCTCCCCCTTTACCTGCTCTGATTTTTAGGCATCATCTGGCAGTCAGTTCCAAGCCACCCGCCAAAGCCCTACTTGAAAGAGAGGCTTCAAAAACACTCCTTGGGAACCAGCCAGCCAGGAAAAGCCGACCCTGGTCCATCCCGGGACAACCAACGTACCTGCTGCCTCTGCAACTTCACTTCTTTGCGCAGTTGCTCAACTTCCATCTTCAGTTTTTCCTTCTCCGGCAAGTCTTCAATGTGAAGGGCCGGCATTTCTGCCTGGGAGCTGGGCCCAGGGGCCGCGCTGGAAGCCGAGCAGCCGAAAGTGCAGCAAACCACCAGCGCCCGCCCGAAATAGCTGCGTCGCCTGCGCTCCCCGCCCGCCCGCTGGCCTCTGCTGCGTCCGGGACTGTCCTCACGCCAGCCCTGCCCAGTGCTCCAGGATCTTAAAACCCCAGATCCGTTTTTCTGATCCTCCCATAGCCGGGAGGCCTGTCCAAAAGGCCCGAGTAGGGTTAAGGTTTAGAGGCGGCCCCAGCACCCCGGGGAGCTTCTCTCTGCAGAGCTCCGGGCGGGGATGCTGGCTGGGAGCAGGGCAGGGGCTTAGACCCAGCCACGCCCGCGGGAAACCGACCTGGGCAGGGGCCCAAAGGTTGGGACCGCGCAAACCGACTTTCCTGAAGAATAATAAAAGTTTAACTTTTTGTTCTTTTTTTTTTTTTCATTCCCAAGTCACATCCGGGTTTTGTTTGTGAAGCAAGAGAAGGAGGACACTACCCTGCAGGAAATAACGGCCCTGCACAGCTCCAAGAGTTGAAAAAACTGACATTATGCAACTTTCCTCCCGGTTTCATACGTGTTTCTTGTGGGAAATGTGAACCCTTGAGAAGGGCCCCAACAAGGAAAAAGTAACGGGGTTGTGATGTCAGGTCCCACAACATCTGTTGATGTGTAGATACCCACCCACCCAGTCGATTAAAGGCCCTCACCCCCGAAACTATGTGTTCCCTTTTCCAGGGATCAAGGGGGAATCGGAAGGTGAATATTTTTTACAACTTGCACGGCCATTTTGAAATTAATGATTTTCTGCATCCTCAACAGTTTTTAATTCTTTCTTCAGGGCAATGTTCTATAATGGCTGCAAAAGACTACTGAGAAGACAAAGGAGGAATCTAAAAAGTTCTTAAACGGAAAGCATTTCTTCACTCCCCATCTGCCAAGATTTGGGTGTCACTCGACACCGAGAATTTGAAATTCCTGGCTCAAGCGCATTCCTGGATGGAGGCAGTAGATTTGCCTAGTACTGGTTTCTTCACTGACTGGAAAGCAATATTCATCCAACTGGCACTCTGCAAATCCAGGACATGAGTCTCATATAAAACCTATATATATATGCAATATATATATATATATATTTCTAACTATTATCTAAAACTGTGTTAATGATGGTCTAGTGACTAGAAGAGAAATGAAGTGTTGTAAGAAGCCTTCCTAAAATAGATAGTTGATTTTCCTTTGTTTCTGTGATTTACATGCTACCTCAGAATCAAATTCAAGTAGGGATGCACTAAATATCTCAGGGTACTTGATCTGAACACCCATAACCCAACTATTTCGTAAGCAGTGGGTTTTGTTAGTTTGATTATAGTTTCTTTCCAGACTTCACCCTTTTAACTTTAGTAAGTATATTGGCAAGAGAAGAACAAGGATCTAATTGTTGAGTACTCATGGGTTCAAGTCCCAGGTCTGCCACTTGCCCTGGAAAGTCACTTATTTCTGTTTTGTTTTCTGGCTTGTAAAATTTGTGGTGGGCAGGGGAGTCACAAATTAAGGTTTCTATTTTTCTGAATGTGTATGAATTTGATAAGTCACTTTTACAATATGATAGGATTAAGGCCTTCTTTTTCTATGACACATTATTCCAGGTTTTTTCCAGATAATTAAAAGTTAGATCTTCCACCAGACTATTCCAGGACGGTAAGCAATAAACCAAGAAAAAATTACAGAACTTGTTCACTTTATATGTTGTTGTTTTTCATTGATTAAAGTTATTAAGTTGATTAAAAATATCTAACAAAGTTAGTGAAAGTAATTAATGTGGTTTAGTTTAAATAATTTTAATGTCAAAATTAAATGGCCTAGGCAAACTAATGTATGCCTAGTCCAAATAATAAAAATAGAATGATTTTGACCTCAAAATTTATCATCCATGATATCATTTAAATTCAGTGATAAGTACTTATTTATCCATGACATTTTTAACTTCTTCCACAGAATTATTAAAATAAAAGACATATTAATATATTCTTAGTTTCTATTATTGTCAAACCATTCAAAAGCTAAAACTTCATTATATCAAAATGGGTCAAGAAATGCTACAATCTCAAGATCATAACATTCTGAAACATTTTGTCTTTGCTTGATTTGAACTGATAATATATGGGCAGGTTTCATAAAAAATTCTGAATTAAGAGTCTATAGTGACTTTTCCACAAGCATGGAGTTTATCTCCCAATTATGGTAAATAATTTCTCCAGATTTCTTGCAGAAATATTCTATCAGTAAAAAAATTTGAATAAAAAAATTAAATCCAAGTTAGTTGTATCCAACTGTTGTGTTCACCTTTTTCTTATATTTTCACACATTAGTCTTAAGAAAAGTTATTTTACAAAATGGTATGTGAGGAAAACATTCTGCACTAAAAATTATAGATTTAATCAGAAATTAAACATTATTGGCCAACTGTATTCTTATTTTATTCATTTATTCTTATTTGTTTCTGGTCCATATCTGGAAAGTCAGGGGTTACTCCTGGCTCTGTGCACACCTTGTGGTCCTCTGGGGACTGTATGCAGTACTGAGGATATAACCTAAGTGTGTAAGTGCCCTACACTATGTGGTTGTTTTTATTTCTAAATTCTGAAGGCAAAAAATGCCATGAACCATTTATATTTTTAGAAATTCATATAAAGAGAGACTGAACAAAAGTCCTAAAGGGCTGGAGCAGGGATTTAATTCCCAGGTGTTATGGCCTCTCAAACATGTGATCTTATCCTTATCCCACAAGTCAATAGTGAAAAAATGAAATCAAGAAACCAACAAAAATTCTAAAGAAAACTCTAAGAAAATACTGAGTGTACCTAATATTTTAGATTTATCATTAACTTGAACTCAGAAAAAAAATCAAGCAAGTTAATGCTTTTTACCTATGAACTTTTGCGAGAGATTCATCCTATTATGTAGGTGAAAATAAAGTTGGTTACTCGGTAATTTTGCTTTTCTAAAATTTGTAGATGATAACTTTTGGATATCAACCTTAAGTGTTTTAGGCTTCATCAGTGAATTGCCCCTTTTTATCCCCCTAGAGAAGCTTGTGAGCACCCCTTATCCCCTGAATTTATCTTTAAATTTCCTTTATGTTTTGCCTCTCGTTGTCACAATTCCCCAAGTCAGTCTTGGTTACATATAAGCCAAAACTTAGGTGACTCTGTATTTTGAATTTGAAGTGAATTACTAACTTTTCTTTTCCCCATAACATTTTTACATTTTACTATGAGCAACATTCTTTGCTTAAACATAAATACTGTTAATGCTGTGCTCCTAATATTTGGGAGTTGATTGACTCCGAAATATATCTACACCTGAGCATCCATCATAATTACTTGGCTCATTTTTTGGTTGCTGTAGTTCCTAACACCCACAAAAGGGAGGTCCCACCTTGGGACTGGGATGAACGCAGGGCAAGTGGAAAAGTTACCCCAGCGTTGAAATGGGACAGTCTAGAAAGCATAAATGTATAGTCTTGATGCAAACTGTTATAACATAAGAGATAGGGTCCCTATGGGAAGAAACAAGCTGAATTGGTCTAAGGACCGAGTCTAGGATTTATGGTAAAATCTTTGCTTGCCTCAGAGTACAGAGAACTAAATTTTGGAACCTATATCTCTAATTGTGTTTATCTAAATTACTGCAAATATTAATAAGAAAACTTAATTGTTTAATATGTACAACTAAAGGGAAAGAGAAAAGTAATATAGCGATACCTGGGAGACAGTATCTCCTTGAGTCCATCTCCCCGAGAGAATGTTTTACTTCTGCAAATGATCAATCTCACCTATATACAATCCTATACAAAGAACTGTTTCAGATGTTCTGTAATTATGCTGATGGCTCTGCATTAAACGGACCAATTTTTACTGTCAGTCCATAGTCCCCCATCTCTTTGTTTCTATGCTGAAAAGGCTGAAGGGCAGCTCTTGGTCAATGAATGCAAAGGTTGTACCTCCACACTTTGTGAACTCACAATAGCTGTGTAGGTTTTAAAAATTATGATTTCTTTAAGAAATGTATTAACAAATACTTGACAATTAAAAATATCAAAATTATTTCATCAATCCCTATCGTATGTTTTTTATTTCCATCATATATAATTGTCCATTCTCACTAATTTATTATGTTCTTCATGTTAATACATTCATTCAGAAAGTTCGAGATTAGTTTGACTTAAAATCCAACTATAATTAAATCAATATAAGTTTTTAAAAGGTAAGGGTTTTTTTTTGTCCCTTGCTGAAGCTTAGACTCACCTCTTTGTACAAAACATCCTCAAAGCACAAATAGCTCAAATGATATTTTATGGAAATTAAGTACATTTAATTCATTTCCACTAATGATAATAGGAAATTCAGAAAAAAATTGCTAAGGTTGTGCTTGGAGTACTTTTTGTTTTTTTGTAGTGACATCCCATTCTCTTTAATCAAGTAATCTATAGTCCTAAAAGAACAAGTTCTAGTGGAAGAAAACCTCAGAACAACAGTAACAAAAATAGTCAAGAGAAAAAAGGCTGAACTTCAGGACTGATCTCAGAGAAATGCTGGCAGCTTAGTTACCCAGAAAGGCGTGGCTGCCATCTGGATGAGGTCTCAGCACCCTAGGAGAGATGGTGGAAGACCAAGTCCCTGCTCTGTCAAAGGACCAGGGCTCCACCCACCTGCATCCAGCTCCTGCAGCTGCCAGAGAAACATCCTAGTTTCAGGACTGATCTCAGAGAGGTCAGAGAGTTGATCATCACAGTTCCAAAGCCTATGAAGTGAACAGCTGCCTATGTCATTGTGCAATGTCTCCAAACTTCACAGAGCTTACAGCCCAGAAGAAGTCAGAGAATTAGATGGGAAAGTTGAGTAGAAGCCCACTAAACTCAGTGAGTGAAAACAAGGATACAGAAGGCCCAACTCTCACCTAACAACTCAGTAAAGCCTCAGACCACGACTGTAGCAACACCATTATGTTATAATAAGAAATGTAAAGTAATTTAATTAGTTCTCCAAAGGGATCAGACTTTGTGTGGAGTGTGTGGGGTTGGGAAGGGGGGGAGTATGGGGAGACTAGGGACATTGGTGGAGGTAAGGTTGATGGAGGTAAGGGCACACTAATTGATGGGACTGGTGTTGGAATATTGAATACCTGAAACAACTGTATTGTAAACAACTTTGTAAATCATGGTGTTTAAATAAAGTTTACTTTAAAAAATATAGTCAACAGCAACAATAAATTCCAGTAAATTGCAACTGTGGGTAGTGAGCAGCCATGATTTCATTTCCTTCTTCCTGGCCCATCTTTCTCTGTACTTCCTTCCTTCCTTGGTTTTCATTTTATTAAAATT